ATTTACCATTAAACAAAGAACCATTATAGAAAATGTGCTGAAAATATTGACTTTTAGTCGCTCGATTGTGATGAATCTCTTTTGTTTACACTATGTTGTGCACCAATATGGCGGTTAGCAACCGTTGTCATGCACCAAGTCACGTGGGTGAAAACCGAGAATATCGTTCAGTATATCGGCTTGTTTCAGTTCTGTTTGCAGCTTTCTACATAACATAACATAAATTTCGCAATAGATTGGTATTCGTGACTTGGGAATTTTTCGTCTAGTATTCAGTAATGTATGATGATGTGTTTCTAAAAATTAAGGTACGCTCGGTTTATGATGGTTGATATAACATAACATCTTGGTTTTCGGCTTGTAGTACAACACCTTCCAGGCTGTGATCATCACAGATGGTGTCTACACCTTTGCGATGTATAACTACCAACCTGACGGTATTCAGTGGTCAGCGCCAACTTCGAGGTATGAATCAACAAATATATTGACCAATGACACTAAATATCTTTAAAGTGGCTCCATATAGTTTTTGTTCGCGCGCGCCAGGTTGTGCACGAGCATGCGCAGTACCAGAACCTGAAGAATTTTTATTTTGATGACGTCACGAAAAGTCTGTGGCATGCGTTATTTAAAAAAAAACAAAAAAAACTCGAAAACTAAGTGGTCAAATATCTTTAAATTTCTACAGGTTTTTTTTCGTAAAATAATAAGGCAACTGACGCAATATCAAAAATATTTGGACTACAGAAAGTGTATTTGCTATGAAATAATTTCTAGTTCTATTACTTTAAAGCCCGAAACTATATGAAGCCACCTTAAAATCCAGTTGAATGTAAAACTGGACCCCTCTACTATATAACTATGAATAAACGATAAATGTCTAAATATTGTCAAATTATTGTGATGAAATAGATTCATAGCTACTATTGCCAAAATTTAAAACCAATTATGGCAGCTGTCTCGTAAATGATAAAAACGAGCATATTATTGACATTTTTGCAAAAACTATTTCAAAACATATTTTGTGTGTGTGCGCGCGTATTTCAGAGAAAATTATCGTCGATTTTGGAATTCTCGAGGCCTTCCAGTTGTTGGATGGAGAGTTGGAGCTATGACCTACTTTAATATGCCAAGGTAAATTGATTTTGTGTTTTAATATTCTCTTTATTGTGAATACTATTACTTTAGACTTATCAAACATACTGTCATGTGCTCAGAATATACGTTACGTGGCAATAACACTCATCCCTTTTTTACAAGAGAAAATGAACTAGTATTCTCTTGCTTTTTATGATTGTTCGCAAATATCGGTGACTATTAAAACGATTAATAGAAATCATAATTTCTAATTTCACATCTACCTACGGCTCAATAGGTCTGGATTTGTCAACATCGAAAGTATTGATGATGACATCGCTGGGAAAAGCATTAAGATCTCTCGTGGACCTGGGTACAGTGAAATTTCCCATGGCATAATAGGAAAGTGGTTCTTCCGCTTAGAGGCAACAACATTAGAAGAGATTTCAAATGCTGAATCAAAGTGCAAAAAATGGTTTAAGGAACAACCAGATCCGCGTCCCATGATAGAAAATCTTGAACACTGCCCGTGCACGCGCCGACAGGCCTGGTGGGACGAGCGATTTAATCTTCCTGTTGCAAACTGGTGGCAAGACTCGGATAATTGTGCTTCCCTGATATCTAGAAAAGACGACAGTTGGGGACAGACATGTTGTTATTCTAACGACTGGAGAAGTCGGGGGGCCCTAATTGTTGGTCATCCAGGTGGAGGGAGGGCTCAAAGATATACTCGAGAAAAACAATGGCAGTTTTACATCAGTGAAGAACTAAGCTACATGTATTGCTGTATAAATTCTAATTTATGCCATCTTTACTATCAAAAAAGACCATCTGATGACTGCAGTCGATATGAACCACCTGAGTGGAGTAAGTTTAGCGTATAATTTAAAATTTTGCTAAAATGTTTGCTGCAGCTGCAATCTTGGACAAAAGATTGTTACCTTTTTAGTTCTTATCTTCCTCTGACCCAGCATTCCCCTGAATAATCGTCGTTTTTTTTTTTTTTTGCCTCATTCAACTTTTAGCCAGTCAAGCTTCGAGGGAAGTGGGGATTTATTCATGTGTAATAACTAATTTTCCTAATTCTGTCCTTGTAACAACTAATTATTGTCTGAAATTTACTTTTTTAAATTTAGGTTGGATGTGGGGCGACCCTCACTTTGTCACCCTTGATGGTAAAAACTACACATTTAACGGTCTTGGTGAATATGTGATGCTGGATGCAAAAGACGGCTTCTTTCAAGTTCAGGCAAGGACAAGACTCGCTAAAGGAGATGGAACTGCGACTGTATTTTGTGCTGTCGTGGCGCAGGAGAGAAATGCAAGCAAAGTGCAAGTCAATTTAGAGAGAGAAGGTAGGAAATAATTCTTTTCCTTGTACAAATTAACTATTGTTATTTACTTCCCGTGCATTTAACATGCAGGTAGCTTTACGCTTTTTGTCGATGGAAAAACCTTGGATTACAACAGCCTTACCAACCAATCGACCAGACTCAATGGCTCTGTCGTTGTCTCCCGTCCTAAAGATAACATATTCAGAGCAACTTTCCCATCTGGAATCTCGGTTACTGTAACAGAAGTAAAGGGTGCCTTGTCCATCTTATTGGCAATGCCCAAGTCATTCAGGAACCAGACGAAAGGGTTGTTAGGAACCTGGAATGGGAACCAAACAGATGACCTGACAACACCCAGTGGAGATGTTTTACCAGCGAATGCAAGCAGTAGGGATATTCACTTTCAGTTTGGACAGAAATGTAAGTATACTACTATTAGTATTTTTATCTTGGCAGTGGCTTTTCAAATGTCTTACTAAAATGCAATAAATCTTGTTTCTTTCCATCATATGACTTTCGCTAACGCAGGGCAAATAGATAAAACGACTTCGTTGTTTATTTACCTTCCGGGCGAGGACAGCTCTACCTTCTCAAATACGTCATTCGTGCCCATGTTCATAGACGAACTGAAATTCTACAATGAATCTTTGGAGAAACAAGCTCGCGCTGCTTGCCAAGGTGACATCAACTGCTTGTTTGATTCTGCTTCAACCAAAGACTTGTCTGTTGGAGTAAGCACGAAGGTTATTGGGTCGCAACTCATCAACGAATCAATTATGCTTAGTAAGCTTTAGCTTTTGTTTTCTATATGAACTGTTTGTTTGTTGGTTGGTTGGTTGGTTGGTTGGTTGGTTGGTTGGTTGGTTGGTTGGTTGGTTGGTTGGTTGGTTGGTTGGTTG